GAGAAGCGCTTGACCAGGAGAGCTAGCGAGATGTAATGCATAAAATGGTGTCATTTTAATTTATTTATAAGGATATTTTCGTACATATTAATAATATTTAGTAAATTTTTCGGCAAAGCAGTATGGGATGACACCGCTTATACTAAAGTGCATCTGCCCCTGCACTTCAAGTGTTCAATAGGTATTATCCCTAGTATAGGTGTTCAATGAAAAATATTGCCAAGTATAAGGGGCTGCCTATTAATTTTGCCTAAACTAAAAATAAATTTGTAAAAAACCATAAAACCATTACCTCAAGGGGATTGGGATCAACTATACCATCCACCACCCCTCTACGAGATGTACAAGTATTTTTTTTTTTTTTTTTTTTTTTTTTTTTTTTTTTTTTTTTTTTTTTTTTACACCTTACAACTCTTAGGCAGATCTTATCCGGCAAGCTGTTTCCACATCAGTGGAGATACATACCATTGATAAATACCAGTTTTTTTTTTTTCTTGTAACCTTCATGACCTTTTTTTTTTAAGTTTTCAAAAGATAATATGGAAGAGACTTCTCTATACAAGAACACTTCCATATCTCCCAAGTATAATTCAACTAACAAAAAAATTGGCTTTGTCATATCTTCTTCTTATGTTAGGTAACTGCCATTTGTCAAGTTGAAAAATTCCTTTCACCTCTTTCGAAAGTTGTTGAAAAGAGTGATAGAAGGTACTACTTCCACTTGAGGAAGCCATCTTAGCAAGAAAGTCTGCCACTTGATTTGCTTTTCTGTAACAATGTGAAATTATCAACTCTGCTTCTTGAATGATCTTATAAGTGTCTCTGATAAGTTTCCTGAGCTTAAGGTTACTAGTATCCATATTAAGGAGCATATTAGTGATGATCAAAGAGTCCATCTTCAGGTTGAATCTATTGAACCCATTCTGTATGCACCATTCTCCTCCATGTTTAGCTGCAACAACCTCTGCTAGATTGTTGCTTTTGGATTGAACAGGGACTGAGAAGGCCATGATTAGTTCTCCATTATCATTTCTGACCACACCTCCTATACCAGCTCTGCCAGTTTCCATAACATAACTTCCATCAGTATTGACCTTTACCATATCTGGTAAAGGTTTAATCCAATTTACTTGCCTCCAAATCACTACTGGCTTCAACTTCTCCACCATGTCACAAATAGGGATCCAAGTTCCAGGAAGTTCAATTTTTGGAAAGGTAGTTTGTAGAGTAGCTTTAATAATCCAAACGATCTGTTGTTCCATTTTAACTCTAACAAATCTTTTTTTATCACCAAATTTGCAAGAAGTCCAGTTCCTCCATATTTTCTAACTAATAATCACTGGCATAGCTTGAAGAACTAGCCTGTGTACTTCATTCTTAGGCTTTATATCCCACCACTGTTTGAGCACTCTTCTAATATCCCAATTATTATGATGGGTGGTACCAAAAGGCCCTCCAAAATATTTCCATACATGACAGGCAGCCTCGCCCTCTATAAAGGTATGTTGGATGGAATCACATTGTGTTCTTTGACAGCAAAAGCATCTGGATACCATGTGATTCCCAAAATTTGCAATAACTTCATCGAATGGTAACTTTCTCAAGTAAAGTCTCCATACCAGGAATGAGATTTTAAATAGAATGGATTTGTGCCACACTTTATTCAACTCCAGATTCTTTTGCTTGCTATGTCTAACTGTCGACCATGCCGACTTGGTTGAGTATTTCCCATCTTCAGTGTCTTTCCATATTGCATAGTCTTGTTGATCAGGTTCTCCAATTTCAATATGCATGATCTGTTGAGCCAGGTGTTCTGGGATTGCTTCTCTAATCTTGTCCATGTTCCATCTTCCATCAATAAGAAAATCACTGACAGTACTTTTGGAATTCCCAGGAGCTTGAGGTACCAGCTTCGCTAATGCTCCATTATCTGTCCAGCTATCCCACCAAAAGTTAATATCTCTAGCATTGATCTTCCATAGAATTCTACACTCAGCTTTGTCTCTCGCTTGAAGCATATTCTTCCAAATCTGGGAATCTTTACTATTAACGGCTCTAGATACGGGATGACTCCTAGAACAATACTTAGCGTTGAGGAATTCTGCCAGGAGAGATAGTTGGGTTCTGAACCTCCACCATCTTTTTATTGCTAAGGTGTTAGAGATATCCTCCATGCTTCTTATGCCAATTCCACCTTCATTCTTTGGGAAACATAAATTTTTTCATGAGCTCCAATGGTATTTGTTCTTGTCTCGGGAAGAACCCCAAAAGTATCTGGCAAAGTACTTCTCGAGAAGATTCAGAGTGCTCTTTGGAGGGCAAACTGCAGAAAGGCTATAAACAGGAAGAGACTGCAGAACACTCTTAATTAGAACCATTCTCCCCCCATGAGACAACATTTTACCCTGCCGGCCATTAAGTTTTTTGACAACCTTAGCGATCATACCATCAAAATAACTGATTCTCTTCCTCCATATATATAAAGGGCAACCCAGATATGTAAATGGAAAGCTCTTCTCCATAAATCCAGTACAACATCTCAGCCTATTGATTCTGAAAGCGCTAGTCTTTGGACTGGTTAAGAAGAAGCTCTTATTATCATTGACCTTTTGACCCGAGGCTTTTTCATAATTCTTGATCTGCTTCATGATGAGATTTACTGACTTAGTGTTACCACTGCTAAAAATGACTATGTCATCTGCATATGCCAGATGATTAACCTGAGGTCCCCTGCAACTCATAGAAAAAGGAATAAAGTTTTTATTAGTGTGTAATTTATTCAAAGATCTGGATAACACTTCAGCTGCTAAATAAACAGAGAAGGGGAAAGAGGATCTCCCTGTTTAAGCCCTTGGGAGGAAGTGAGGAATCCCTTTCTTGAGCCATTTATAATGATGGAATACCACACTTCAGAGATCAGTCTCTCTATGATTTCAATCCAGCTCTGAGCGAAACCAAACCTATTAAGTACGAAAGTTATAAATGACCAAGACATTCTATCATATGCCTTGGCCATATCTAACTTCATTACTATGTTCCCTCTAGTGTTAGGTTTGGATATAACATGTATAATCGCCTGAGCCATCATGACATTCTCAGTAATTAGCCTTCTTGTAACAAAACCACTTTGATTAAAGGAAAAGAGATTAGAAAGAAGAGGGTTAAGCCTTCTAGAAATAATCTTAGATATAATCTTGTTGGTAAAATTGCTAAAGCTAATAGGCCTCAGGTCAGAGAATGTAGAGGGTGATTCTACTTTAAGGATCAAGGCGAGGCAAATATGAGTGTAGAACTTGGTGAGCCTATTTCCCCTAAAGAATTCAAAAATAAACTCTATTATGTCCTGCTCAATAATCTCCCAGCAACATTGGAAGAACTTCTCATTATAGCCATCAGGGCCAACAGAGCTATCTGAACTCATACTAAAAATAACATCTTTGATTTCTTTTTCATTGGGCAATCTAGTAAGAGCCACATTATCCTCATATTTCACGATCGATGGAATGCAGTCCAATAGTCTACTATTACAGGTAGGTTGTTTCAAATTAAACAATTTCTCAAAGTGCCTAATGGCAGCTCTAGCTATTTTGTCTTCTCCCTGGATCCATCTTCCTCTGTGGTTCTTGATTCTATATAGTTGTAACTTCTTTCTTCTGTCCCTGAGAACACTATGGAAGTACTTACTATTATAATCACCTTCTTGAAACCATTTGATTTGGGCTTTCTGCCTAAGAAGGGATTCTTGCATACTCAACCACCTAATATATTCGGCATGGCCTTTATTAAGTTCTTCCATCCCTTGTTCATTGTTGTTTATGATGTCTAACTCTTCGAGTATATGGACCTTGGCTTCCCAGCTGTTAACTTTTTCGTTCACATCACCAATAATATTTCTGGACCAGTTGCTAAGTTTCTTGCTCAGGGCCTTCAACTTACACTGTAATTTCCACATAGCATTACCTTCAACCTGCATATTCCATGTTTCTTGAACTATCTCAAGGAAACCCTCTTGATTTGTCCAGAAGTTTAAAAATCTGAAATACTTGATGCTAGAGTGTTGATCATTGTGGCTCTTCATCAACAAAGGTCTGTGGTCAGAACCAGTCTTGACCAAATGCTTAACAATATTATATTGGAGATTCTGGGACCATTGATCATTTACAAGAATCCTATCAAGCCTCTTCCATATTCTCTTGCTAGGACTTCTATTGTTACTCCAAGTGAATCTTGGTCCAATATAACCAATATTTGTTAAACCACAAGCTTCTATGGTGCTAATAAAGTCAAGGCTTCTACTAGCTCTGTGAGGCCTACCTCCCAACTTTTTCTCGGGGTCCATTATAATATTAAAGTCACCTCCAATGCACCATGGACCATTGACTAGATTGGAAATGTCTTCAACACTGTCCCACAGAAGCTTCCTTTCTAAGGCAGTACATTTAGTATAAATTGAAGTTATACATGTACCTATGTCATCATCACATTGTTTGAAATTAATGGAGATCTGCTGATCATCGTTAGCAATAATCACAACTTGATCTAAATACTTCTAGAAGCACCAGATCTTACCATTGGTATTAGCTATGCAATGTTGGAAACCTAAGAATTTCTTATAACCATCAATTTATTTATTATCAACAAGTGGTTCTAAAACAGTAGCAAAGACCACTTTGTTTATATTGATAATAT